TATAAATAAGTCAATAATTATAAAATATTTAAAATTTATTAAAAATGAAATATTTATAATTAAATATTTACTATAAGTTTAAAAAAAACTTAGATATATATTTTTATAACTTAACGATTATAATATATTTAATAAACTTTCCATTATAAAATCAACAAAATCAATAGTGGGGGACGAGGTGGCCGAGCGGTCTAACGCGTCGGCTGCGGCGCTGGCAGTCGCGGGTTCGATTCTCGACCACCGGGCGGCATTTTTCTCCGGGCAAGTCACGGTGTCCGGAAAACAAGTGCCGCCATCCCCCCACTCCGGGGCATGGCAGAAACCTACGGGTGCCCAAATTGAAAATTCTGCCAAAACCCAACACACACGTGTTCCCCCCTACTACTGTCTACTACCAACAATACAATACACATTACACCTACAAACAAATCATACAGCTAATGGCCATAGCTGCCGGGTTTACGTTCAATAAAAAAAAAAAAATAATATATACAATATATAATATAGACTATATAGATTATAAACAATTAAATGATTAGTGGCAGCCTTTTTAATTATTATAATAATTAGATAATAATTAATTAATAGATATAGTTAAATTTTATCACCTAGCAAAAATATTCAATATGTACCTAATTTATATAAATATAGGTATATATAATTATATGAATCAATTTGCACAGGTCATATACCTTAATATTATAATATAATATAGATAATAATGCAATTTATATATTTATTTTTATTTTTATTGAACTTAAAAAAACATCAACAGGCAACAGCAAAGGTTGTGTATTAGTTTTTGTGTATGTTACATAATTATTAGTGGTTACTCTTACTATAGAACTAAATTTATAATATTTATATGGTGTCCTATATGTAATTATGTACTAATTTCTATACAAACAGAAATAATATTAGCTGGGTTATCATTAATAGTAGGTTTATATTGTATTGTTTAAGTCGGTCTTTCTTAGGAAGACTAACATATTTGATATGTTTTCAATGTGTGGCCCTAATACTATATTCGTTCATGTTATTGGGTGGAATGTTGGATTTTCTGAGTTCATCGGAGTATTGATAGCACTCTGTTAGTCTGTTTTTATATGCTTTACTGGTAATATATACTACTATATAGTAATAGGGTTTATATAATGAAAAAAAATAGTTTCACTATAAATAATTCGAGTTATCGCGTATACGCGTTCACCGCCGAAACGTCCGAAATCATAGTTGATAGTTGACACGACCATTACGACCGTCCATCCAAAGCACATGCACAATGCCAATATGCCATATGGCATATGTGGTCGTGTACTCGTGTGACGTGTAGTCGTGTGCCGTGTGGAGTACGCTGAGCAAGGCCCGAGGCCGACGGTTATCGAAGTATTTTGTTTTTAGAACTCCGAGTGGGGATAACAATAATAATAGATTATCATAATATCTATAATAGTTTATTTTATATAGTATAATAATAATAATAATAATAATATCCATGCCATCATGCCGACCGCGACGGCGACACACCGAACTGTTCGTAATTGAGTGTAGACCCTAGTAGTTGATAATTGATAATTTTATATAAATAACTAAAGCCTGGTTTTTCCATCATCCAGTGCCAGAACGCACCTGCGACCCACCACCACTGCGATCGACGCTGCCGCGTCCTCTCCGTGTCTCGTACTCTATCGTCTCTGTCAGTCAGCAGTCTACGCATAACGCATCTATACAATCTATACAATTACAATATGGCCGGTAGCCCTCGTGTTAATGTGTTTATGTGTATCTTGACATCTCGTATATTATGTATTCACTGTGTTAGCCTTTAGTCATTGCCCGTTTGGTGTAGTCGTGGTCCGTGGAGACAAGTCACAACCACACAAAATATTGCGTTTTTGTGCTTATATCATACACACAGGTATGTACTACTTAAAACTATATTATGCATTTTGTTGTTGTATGGCGTATGCTGTTCACCCGTTTACTGTACGTTTCTATACGTCACATAATGTGGTCTACCATGTATTCTTTATAATTAATTGAAATAAGTACCTAATTCGTACATATAGAAATAATAATTTGTAATATTTAATCAAAATTGAGGTAGACCGCTGCGGCATTACAACAACAAAAAACTACCTATGCATCTATGTAAAAATAATGCAGCAATAAGCAAATAATATAACATTAATAGGTAGGTATAATTCTTTTTATTTTAGATTACCAGATTACAATTTTTTATTACTAACATGTACCTAACCTATAAAAAATAAAATACCTATTTATTCTAACTGTATTGTTCTATTTTGTTTGTATTTACTATTTAGGTTCCTAAAGATATAGAGGACCGTGATATATTTTATTATACACAGCAAATTATTCAATGGTCAAGCCACCGTTTAGTAGCTGGTAATTATAATAATCTTCCTTAAAAAATGGCACATTATTAGATACTTACTCAATGTTATTTTATCATATTTCACCATTTTAATCATGAGTGGGTATTATTTTTAGTTTTGAAAGTTTTAATGTACTCAAATTATGGTAGAAAATATTAGCTAGGTTAGTAACTTTTTTAATTATGTCATTACATCCAAGTAAATCTACAAAACGTAGGAGATTTTTGAAAGAAATTGAGATCACTGAAGTGTATATTGAAAGTTCAAATCATAATTTTGTGCATTCTGATAATGATATATTAGAATCTCAAGATACTGTCAATAATTTAATTGTACCTTGTAATAGTGTTGTAAATAATATTAGTGATTCAATTGAACCCAAAAGCTCTTTAATTAATGTAAGTAAAGAATTGAAAAATTTATCTTGCAATAATTTAAGTTCACTTGAAACTGTTGAAGATGAGTTAATGTTAAATGTTAGTTCATCTGATTCTGACGATGAAAGTAAAACCATCTCGGCAGAATATTTGTCTGATGATAGAGATCCTATTTTACAAATGTTGGGCAATTGGGCGGTTTCAAATAATATAACTAACGTAGCTTTTTCTGGTTTATTAAAAACTTTAAAAAAACATAAATGTTTTAATTTTTTTCCTGTAGATGCTAGAACAGTTCTTAAAACCAAAAATATTGACAATAAGCAAATTCAAAATATTACACCAGGTATATATTATCATTTTGGTATTGAAATTGGTCTAAGAGGTTTGGGTGATTGGTTTCAATTTAATGATGAAGCAATAAAAATTGTTATTGGTATTGATGGCTTACCATTAACAAAGAGTTCTCAGAGTTGTTTTTGGCCTATTTTAGGATATATACGTAATTTTCCTGGAAAATCTAAAATATTTTTGATTGGTTTATATTGGGGTAAAGAAAAAGCAAAGGATAGTAATACATTTTTAAAATACATGGTCGATGAATGTAATGAACTATATCAAATCGGTTTTAAAACACCCCATGGTACAAAAAAAGTAGTGATCGAACTTTTTTGCTGTGATGCTCCCGCAAAAAGTTATATTTTAAAAACAAAAAGCCACAATGGTTTCTATTCATGTACTAGATGTAATGTTGAAGGGATCTATTTAGATAATAGAGTATGTTTTCCCGATACAGAATTTATTAAAAAAACTCATTTAGATTTCATTAGTCGTATACATGAAGAGTATCATGTGACTGAAAGTGTATCTATTTTAACAGAGCTGCCAGAAATTGATATGGTGTATAGTTTTAGTTTGGACTACATGCACCTAACGTGCCTAGGGGTAGTTAAAAAATTAATCATGTTATGGTTAGGAAATATAAAAGGATCACCCATTTCTGTTCGATTACAAAATCGAAAAGTACAAGAAATATCAGAAAATTTGTTATTTTTAAGATCTTCTATGACTTCTGATTTTTCTAGATTTCCCAGAGGATTAAACGAAATGCCGAGATGGAAAGCCACCGAATTTAGACTATTTTTACTTTATACCGGCCCTATTGTTTTAAAAGATATATTAAATAATGAATGCTATTTACATTTCATGTATTTGCATATTTGCTTTAGGATTCTGTTAGTTAAAAATAGTAGTGATGAACTTGTTAATTTTGTAGAAAAACTTTTGTCATATTTTGTTCAAAAATTTGGTATCATATATGGACAGAAATTTATATCTCACAATGTACATGGACTTCTTCATATTGTTGATGACTATAAAAAGTTTGGCCCTTTAGATAGACTGTCTTGTTTTCCTTTCGAAAACTATATGAAGTCCTTAAAAAAAATGGTTCGTAAACACCAAAAACCTTTAGAGCAAGTAATTAATAGATACCAAGAAATTCTTGAGTTTAGTAACGCACCTAATACTTATAATTTGTTGCCAAATTCTATTGAATTTAAGAAGCCTCATAATAATGGACCGCTATTGGGCAATATTAGTTCACAATTCAGAATTGTCTTGACCAATGATGTTAAAATTAATACTAATTCATTGACAGATTGTTTTATCGGCTTCAAAAAAGAAGGGAAATTAAATATTTATAAAGTTTTAAATATTTGTTGTAATAATACAGGGCTACATTTTTTTGTTGCCAAGTCATTCAATAATATTGAACCTTTATATGACAAACCGATAAGTAGTTTAAAACTGGGAATTGCATATGTTTCCAATTTATCAAAAAATATTGTACCAATTACTATAGATCACCTGTTTCAAAAGTATGTAGTATTCAATAGTAATAATAACAAACAAATTGCGCTTCCAATCCTACATTCATTAAATAGTTAGTGTAGTAGTATAGTAGTATGTTTTTACAATATATACATACCTATTGGCTATCATAATATATATAAATATATATTTGTACAGTTAAAAATTAAGGCTTTCAAAATATAAAATAATGATAGTACTCATTTGGTATTAAAAAATTTAAAAACAGTTTTATTTATTTAATAGTTTGAATTACTTTGAACTGTTGTAGTAATTTAGTTGTATTATAAATGTTTATTGTATATATTTTATTAGGATAACTTGTGTGTATTTTATTGACCAATAATCGATCATGCCATATTCAATTGTCCATTTTTTTGGTGACAACTCGATTGAAACTGTCCCTGAGCATTGGATAGACAAAAAAAATGGCACTTGTGCTTGGCCTAACAAAAGTAAAACCGCTTCACGGCTTATTGAAAAAAAATGTATGCCTAACCAGATTGAATATACATATTTAAGATGCAGAGAATTATGTAAAGGAATTGGTAAATATAATAACATACCTAATAATTTTTCAAGTTCATCAGATTTTTTAATTAGTCTACTTTGTATATTATTTCTATAAATTAATTTGTGCATAGGTATATTGTACTTATTAAATTTACTATTTAAAAAAAAAACTGTTTTTATTATAGATTCATTAGTTGAAGCTAAAACTAAATCTAAAAAAGCTTTGTACATGTCTGATTTATCGTCTACAGAAGAAACAGTTTCAGCTAACGAACGCCATAAAGAAATTATAATATCTTCTCCTACTTTGTCTACAAATTCATGCCCATTGTTTTCAGGTAATATAATAAATGTATCTATTATAGGAACTAATAAAAATTAGAATTTATCAATTTTAATGATATACTATTATAAAAATACTATGAAAATTTGATTTTAATTTAGATTCTGATAATGATCTAGCATCTAAAAAATCTAGCACTAAACCTAAGTTTAGTACAACTATGATTGGCTCTGATAATAATGAACATTTTAGTAGTTGTTCTCCATTGCCAAAATTATTAAATGATTATCCTCATGAAGCCATTATTGATGGTAAGAATATTCTAATGTCTAAATATTTTACTATTTATTGTTTCGTCAGCTTTGAAAAAAAAACTATTATTCTTGCTATATTTATGATAATAAATTATTGATATTACTTTTAACTAAGTAGTTTGTATTACAAACATAGATTCTGAATATAAACAGAGGTATAATAAGGAACCTAACTATTCACCACCTGTCACAAGTGAATCACTTAAAACCATTGATTATAACAAAACTAAAAAGCAAAACGGTTGGTCGCCATTAAAATTGAGTAGTCCAGATAAAAATGTTAAAGGTAATATTATATATTTTTACTTAATTGAAATGTAATATTGTTTTATCAACAAATTTATACTGAATCTACTATATTTATAAATTAGCATGTTCCATTTTAATTATTTTACTAGCTACATATAACTAATAAATATGTAATTTTTTTGAATTTTAGATAATAATAAAAAGCCCCATTTAAAAAAAACAGTGGTCATCCAAAGATACACCTTCTACATCAACTTTTAAATCATATAGTGGAAGAGAGTACAGTCACAGTGAACCTTTCCTGTCAAAAAGAAACGTTAAATGTAATAATATGTGCTTTTCTTATTAAATTTTAATAATCTTATTAATAATGATATTTTGACACATATTATAATATTAAACAGTTCTAGATTCAGGTAATAGTGAGCCAATATTTAAAAGAAAACCATCATCCACATATACACCAACCGCAAATTTGGATTCATTAAGTAGTAAAAAACAACTTGGTCCATATTCAAAAATTAATGGTAATGCATTTCTATATCTATAGTTCAAATTTGAAGATTTTAATTTATATTGGTATTTTTCAGACAATGAACATTCTGTAGTGCGAGGATTAATGTTAAACTCCAATAGTCCTGATGAGTATGAGTTATCCTTCTCACATTCTAATTCTTTAGGAAAAAAGAAAAGTTATTACATAGAACAGGATGGTCCAAACTGCGGTGTTGTGGTAACTGAAAAACATTTTAGTCACGGTGAACCTTTATTGGCAACAAGAAAAGTTAAATGTAATAAAATGTGCTTTTCTTATTAAATTTTAATAATCTTTAATGATATTTTGACACATATTATATTAAACTGTTTTATAATTTTAGATTCAGATAATAGTGATCCACTATTTAAAAGAAAATCACCAGCCACATGTACACCTACTGCAAATTTGAATACATTTAGTAGTAAACAAAAAAATAGTTCACCATATTCTAAAATTAATGGTAATGTGTTTGTATATCTATATAGTTCAAATTTTAATATTTTAATTTAAATTGGTATTTTTCAGACAACAAAAATTCTGTAGTGCGAGAATTATTTTCTAGCTCCAATAAGCCTGAGGATGATGAACCATCTTTCTCACATACTAACTGTTTCGGTAAAAAGAAAAGTTATCATGTAAAACAGGATGATGGTCCAACCGGTGGCGTCATAGCTGAAGTTACACCTCAACGCTATTCAAATGGTATAATCACAATATAATAATAATAATATAATATGAGCTATTATAGTTATTAATACATCAATAATTATAAATAAAAAGTTTAAAACGCAGACTACTATTTCTAAAAATGAAATCTACAAATTAACTTGAAAAACTGTGTTGAACATGTTAGTTTTTATATTTTTATTTTATTTTAGTTGAAAACCATAAAAACTCATAGATTTAAATTAATAATTAAAAACTAAATTCAATAAAGTTGTATTCGTCTGTAGTAAACATGCAATAATATCTTTTATTTTGACAATAACTTTTTGTTAAATTTATACTTATATAAAAAAAAATATTAAAATAACTTTTTATTTAATTTAAATTAAAACTATAAGTATTATAATAGTATAATAGACTATTTTGTTAATATTTTCAGATTTTCAAAAGCAGGTATTACGTATGCTTACATACTTGACAAGTGAAGTACGATATTTGGAATCTGGACAATCAGAAATACTTAGAAAAATCGAAAATGCAGCATCTGACAACAACTTCAGTAATTCAGAAACATTATCAGAAAGTCTATTCAAAGACCTTACAGATTGTCCATTACCAATTGACAATATATTCGATCTTAACAAACTTGAAGATAAATTATCGGAAGATAAATGTTTTCGTAACAAATTGGTAGTTAAATAATTACACTTACTGATAAAGTTAAAAATAATTATATACTTATTACTTTTTTTATTAGGTTAATGAATTATCTTGCACAGGAGGAAAAAATTTAAAATTAATGGTAAAAAGAATTATGAATAAATTATTTACTGATAAACTTATGTCCCAATATTCGTTTACTGGGAAAAAAGGGAAAAACAAATTCAACAGTTTGTTTGTTTGTGCTGTTATTTTTGGTAAGTTGTGTATAATTATTTATTATAATTCAAAACCCCTTTGATATCAATACTTGTATATGCACATGTATATACATATTTATATATAATGTTAATTAATTCTATTCTCCTACAATTTTATTTCAATTTGTTAATTATTATAATAATAACACAATATTATGGATATTTAATATTTATAAGTTGTATAACTACAATATTGAATTGAAAAAAAAAATACAAATAATTTTTGAAAACCACCTATATTATTTTTTTATTACATTATTGTTTCCTATATATCAAAAATAGATGTAATGAGACTAAGATTTTATGTCATATAAATATGACATCCGTTTATAACAATATATTAAAATACATTAATGCTATTTTCTTTTTAGATTCTATTAAAAAAAGCAACAAATCTTGCAAAACTGCATCGGTTGATGAAATTGAGGAAAGAATAAAATATAATTTGGCACAAGCACCATTCAATAAAAAAAATGTTTCACAAAATTAAATAATAGTGAGTATATTATATATATTATTATATATATATATATATTATATTTCTTACAATTATAACTACAATAATCATTATGACTATATTATCATAAAGAATTGATTAAAATATAGAAATATTATAATAATGTATAACCTGCACTTAATATTCAATTAAAGACTGCATAATTTATTGATTATTAATATTATATAATATATAATAAGTCATCATAAAATAAAATTTGAGTTTGGTTGAATTTGACTTTTCTGATCACATAAATGTTGCATTACCATAAAAACCTTGCAGGCTTTGATATTAAAATATTCTGTGCTTTAATTTATTTTATGATTATTTTCAGATGAATATAATAAATGCTGAGCTAATATGCAGATAACTGTTGGATTTATATTTGCTATATTTCATGATGTTAATTTGCATTTACTTTTTTAACAATAAATTATATTATATATATTGAGTATTTCATTTTATACCTACTTCTATACTTAATTCCTGCCTAAGTACTCAGCTGTCCCATATAAAAGTAACTTCAGGTGGTTAGTCAGTTGACATGCAATTGTTGTTGGGTTGTGGCCAGGCAACTCCAGTTTTTCTCCCCCACTATAAGAAAATCATTTGTATGCTATGTAGTAAAATCTCACTCGTGCGATGAAGCATGGAGCCTGAGCCCTGAAGTATCTTATTATATAAGAAGTAGTAAAGAACTAGTAAATATGTCCATATATAAAGCATATATAATTTATTATAGTTGTAGTGTACAAGTATAATATAATATATAACCCAGTATGAAGTTTAGTATTGTTTGTTAACTAAAAAAGTCAACTCTAAAAGTATTAATAAAACTTTAAAAATTAATTTGACTTTAAATTATAATTAATTATTATATAATATAATATTATTATATATTTTTATCTTACTACTTATAATTTATATCTATTGGCAACATGCCAACATCCAAATACAATAAAATAAATATTTTTTAATCTTTTAAATAAATGTAATTGCAATTTTTATAAAACATTTATTGACTTTTAATAAATAATTATGGAATATTAAAATACAATGGTTTTACAACTTTGGTTTACAAATGTTTAATAAATGTTTAGTGTTTGGTATTTAAACAATAAATGTTTCTGGTTCAACAAATATTTATATGACTTTTATTATATATTTTAAATTATATACCAAATTAATAACAAACGATTATTAAATATTGTCATTAGAATTAGAATATTTAATAAAAATTTTAAATATATTTGTTTGCTGTGTGATTGTATCCAGGCCTGTACTATGTACTCACGTACTATATAATCAATATATATATCTCGCGCTGCTTTTAAAAACAGTATATAGGATTTAGTCTATTTGGTTTTTGCAACGATTACCGTTGTTTTCGTCAATAGTGTAACTCATTGCGATCATGTCCGACGTGCACTAATACTTCAAAGTAATTACTCAAGACATATTTTATATGAGTACCTACCTATTATAGTAGCTAGGCGCTTTATAAGTTATATAGATTTCAACAATATTCGCTGAATAGGTTTTGGTACATACAATATAATAAATCTGGATGCGATGATGCGTTGTTCATTATATCATAACGATGATACCAATCAAGTGCTGCACCTAGCATAATACTGTATTGTATATTGTTTTCAGATAGTGAAACATTTAAATTTTATTTTTTTGTTATAATCCAATTTGACCGATGACCATAACTGGTTGAATATTTTCTTTGATATTAAAATGCAAATGAGTAATACTATGAAACTTTTTGGAAATTACATAGATATACTGTGTCGCTTCATATTTAATTACTAACAAATAACTCGTATAATATAATAGGTACACGCGTTAATGGGAAACCACTCGGAAGACTAAAGGAATTTATAATTATTTATTATTTGTGTAGATGTCCGGGCCAATTTCTTTTGAGTCTTCTGCGAACTATTCCATGCAACGAGGAGGAGGATAATTTATTGTTTTATTAATTTATGTTGGTTTACGCACAGAATAACAGCTATAATTACACGAATGTAAAATACTAAAATAGGTATATTATTTATACTATACACTAAATAAAAATAAAACAGCGGCCCATTGCAAGTGTTAAAAGAATAATAAAATAATGAATGTATTCAATTTTAAAAGTAAATAGAAATAATAATAATTACTAAGCAATAGCGCACTGCGTACCTGTAAAATACGCAGGTACAGTTATTTTCCATTTACATATTTTGATCAATGGATAATGATAATATTATGAGTTATGGACACTAGTGGTTTTTGACATAAAAACTTAAAATCGTATTCAGCGTGTAGAAATGTAGAATATAAATACCAATATGTGAAAATTCATTCAAAAAATATTATTGTGTAAAATATTTAAATTGATGTAAATTGTAATTATACCAATAGGTAATTTCCTCTCCACACGCGAATTACAACTATTCATTAAAATCACTATCATCTTATACAGTTATACCAGTATACCTCCACACTATTGTACAGATGGTTTTGTTTTACATTTTTTAATACTATAAAAAATCTTTAAACCATAATATATGTTCTTATGATTAAATATTAACGATTGACCATCAGTTGTCATTATTCCAGTAGGAGCGGAGTTATTCTTCAGGAAAGACATTGCCAACCTGCCTTGTATAGTTTTACCTATAGGTACCTTATATATTATATTATGTATAAGCCTACGCCGTTTCGCGGTAAACAATTAACATTGCATTACTCGTTTATAAGTCTTGGCTATTTGAAATTTACCAAACAATTAGTCCAAACAGTCACCCTTCCATTAAACTTTAAGTCTATTTAAGAATTAAAGCTGCCATTCTCATTGATTTCAATTTAATGATAGCTGGCGAATTCGCTGTAACAAAAAAGTTGCCATTTGTGATCATGGGAGTGATCGTTAACTAATACTTAATAGAAGATTTCGCAGAAATATTATAGGAAGACTCGTGATACTAAGGAAAAATATTACTTATATTTACTAAGGAAAGCGAATTCACAATTTCAATAATTAAATTCACAAGTTCTACAGGTGGTGGATAAATATTATAACCTTTCATATATGCCAATAAATTTACGAATTATTGGTCGTAAATTTGCGCTGTGAATGTTACACTTTAAATCGGTCGATCGTGTGTATCGGCATAAACGTTGAGCGGAACTCGAACAGGGGCGGCTCCAGTGACATGGTTAGGGGGGGGGGTTAATTTTCAGACAATTTCGATGATTTTTTTTTGTAATTTTGTTTTTAACAGTATAAAATTGTTTAGAAATACAGCTTGGGGGGCTGCCCCTGAACTCGACCGACAATTGACAACAGTAGTTATTGTACAAAATAATGACATAGGTGTATAATATTCCCCTGGAAACTACACATTATTCAGTTATTATAATCGTGTTGAGGGTGCAGAAAAGTGGCGAGCATGCGTTTTACTATTATAGTAGGTCGTGGTGATATCTCCAGTGATCTGTTGTACAATACACTATGCATAGTGTCCGCATTATATTATAGAGGCACAGCGGACGTCATACAGCTCAGTGTTTCGAACGATTAAATCTCTGTTTAGGATCGGACGAAAAGTATGCCGCTGTATATAGTAATGATGATAATAATAATAGGTAAGTACACAATATTATTAAATTTTATGGGTACGCGTTCAAGACGTCATTCCGCTCAATCGCCGTAATAATAATAATAATATAACTTCATCAGACCAGTGACGCGTTTTTGCGTATATATACATACAACACCGTTTTATCTATGTACATACGTCTTCGAGGTGTATATCATAATGTATAGGTGATATTATAGCCGCTTACACACGTGTAACTGTTTAATTGGCCGGCCGTGGTGTAAGGTCCACGCGATCGCGACTTGCAGGGCACCTCGTATATTTTATAACCATCATCGTTTATTATTATTGTTCGCCGGTTGTGCAATTTAATAATATATTATAGTAGTAATAATATAATCGACCACTGCAGCAGTAGAGGTGTCTGTATAGTTGTAGTCGTATCTTACATCATTATATCGTACGTTCGCACATGATATTTAGAGAGACGCCCAAAACGACGACCTGCGTGACAAAAACGTCAAGACCGTTTTTGAATAACACGCGATGCGTTCCGTGCATAGAATACTACATTGGCATAATAAACTATACAGCGAGTATAATAATAATATTATAATCACTGTTGCTGCATCATTACTGCAGTATTACAACTTGTACAGGTAATATATATATGTATGTATATGGAATGACTCGGGCGCGCGTGTGCATAAACGACGCGACTAGCAGTTTTTCGAACAATTCACTCGTGACTCACGAGAAGTTGTAAACAAGTATAGATACTTCTGGTTCAGTATCATCGCCGTGGTAAAAAAATATATTACCTAGTCACCTACCTATATAATAGTGGTATCCGACGCTTTTGACAAATCGGCGTACAAACGTGTCTCTGGTGTGCGTACACCTACAATGCAATATAATATATATTTATATATGAATATAACGTGTATATTTGTAATACATTTATACATTCTAGCAACACATATTTTTATAAACGATCAATAATTGGCTGTAACAATGTGGCCTGCACGTGTATCGTATATTGTACACAGATAATACACCCATAATAATGTTGGTATATAGCTGGTAACCTACCTGTTGTGCATGTCGTGCGGATATGTGGACATATTTTGGCTGTAAAGTTGCAAACGTCGAGTGGTATATACCTTGTACCGAACGTTGCATCACGTGCGTACCCGCACTGTGGATGCATAGAATTTCGAAAAACAGTATAATCCGTTATTGTATAGGCAGTGTGTGCTCAGAGTCGGGTGTTCTTTTGCCAGTTGAAGTATACATATCTGCAGTGTGTATTGTAATATTATAATGGATAACAATTAAAACAGCAACGTTGGTGTACAGTACACCAATGTACTTACCGATCGTATAACAATATTATAT